CACCAGCTTCTGGACAGCAGCTCACTGCAGCTGCTGGCCGCTCATGCTGGCTGCTGGCTATACACCATAGCCCATGGCAACCCACTGCAGCAGGGGCTGCAGCCTATGCCGTCGCCGTCGACTCACGGCAGCCCAGCTCCAGGGTGAGCTGTTGTTAAGCATCTTAGCTGTAGAGGGCAGTGTCACTGGCCCTCATATGTGGGGTCCGAACCAGGGCTCTCTGGCATCCGAAGCCAGCTCTTAACCAACGCGCCACTTGGCTGGCCCAGAAAGAATATTTTAAGAAATATTTGATGAAAAACATTATTCTACACATTCAAGAAACTCAACAAACTCCAAGTAGGAAAAATTCAAACAGATCCACACCTACACACACCATAACGTCACTGTCAAAGGACAAAGACAAAAAGTGAATCTTTTTTTTTTTTAAGATTTTATTGGGGAATTGGGGAAGGGAAACATTGTGTTATTCCAGGATCCATCAGCTCCAAGCCAAGTTGTTGTCCTTCAATCCTAGTTGTGGAGGGTGCAAGCTCAGCTCCAAGTCCAGTCGCTGCTTTCAATCTAGTTGCGGGGGGTTGCAGCCCACCATCTCATGTGGGAGTCAAACTGAACCAGCAAACTTGTTGTTAAGAGCACACACTCTAACCAACTGAGCCACCTGGCTGGCCCCAAAAAGTGAATCTCGAAAGCAACAAAAGAGAAGTGATTCATCATGTACAAGGTATCCTCAATACAACTTCTCATTAGAAACCATGGAAGCCAGAAGTTGTAGGGTGACATATTCAAAGTACTGGAAGAAAAAGACTGTCAGCCAAAAATTCTATACCCACCAAAGCTACTCTTCAGAAATGAAGGCAAGGCAAAATTAAGACAATCCCAAATAAACAAAAATGTAAAAAATTCATCACTAGCAAACCGGTCCTACAATAAATATTAAATAGAATCCTTTAGGCTGAAGTGAAAGGACAATAGACAGTAACTCTAATCCACATGAACAAATAAAGAGCACCAGTACATTTAGCTACATAGGTAAATATAAAAGACAGTGTAAAAGTAATTTTTGTTTGTAACTCTCTTTTCTCCTATTGTACATATAAGACAATTGTATAAAACAATAATTATAAATCAATGTTGATGGGCATACAATATAGAAAGATGTAATTTCTATGATGACAGCACAAGAGAGGAAGGAAATAAACCTGTATAGGAGCAAACCTTTTGTATGCTATGGAAATTAAGATGGTGTTAATGTAAACTAGATTGTTATAAGTTAACATCTTAATTGTAATCCTTAAGGAAAACACTAAGAAAATAACTCACAAAATATAAAAGGATAAAAAAGGGTTAAAATGGCATAGAATATGTCCACTTAACACAAAAGAGGGCAGTAATGATGGAATCACAAGAAATAAAAAAAAATAAAATAGAAAAATGGCAGACAAGTAATAATTTACTAGTAACTATATTAAATATAAATGGCATTTTAAAGTCTAGATTGGGCAGCCTACTGAATGGGAGAAGATATTTGCCAACAATGTATCTGATAAGGGGTTAAAATCCAAATTTTATAAAACACTCATTCAACTCAACACCAAAAAAAGCAAACAACCCAATTAAAAAATGGGCAGAGGATATGAAGAGGCATTTCTCTAAAGAGGACATACAGATGGGCAACAGGCGTATGAGAAAAAGTTCAACCTCACTAATTATTAGAGAAATGCAAATATAAACCACAATGAGATACCACCTCACTCTGGTCAGAATGGCTATCATCAATAAATCAATAAACAACAAGTGCTGGCGAGGCTGTGGAGAAAAGGGAACCCTGGTGCACTNGCTCAGCTCAGGCTGGACTCGAACCGCTGTTGCTCAGAGCTCAAACTCTTGAGCGAGCTCTTAACCAACTGAGCCACTCGGCCGGCCCTCAGCACCCCTATCTTTTAATTGGAGCATTTAATCCATTCACATTGAAAGAAATTATTGATAGGTAAGTAGTTATTGCCATTTTGTTTTTAAAAAAATTTTTTTGCGTCTTAAAGCAGTCCCTCTAAGACTTCTTGTAATACTGTTTTGGTGGTGATGAACTCCTTTTCCTTGTTTGGGAAGCTCTTTATCTGTCTTTTGATGCTAAATGATAGATTTGCTGGGTAGAGTAATCTTGGTTGTAGGACCTTGCTTTTCATCACTTTGAATGTTTCCTGCCAATTCCTTCTGGCCTACAAAGTTTCTGTTGAGAAATCATCTGACAGTCTTATAGCAGCTCCCTTTTAAGTAACTAACTGCTTTTCTCTTGCTGCTTTTAAGATTCTCTCTTTGTATTTAACTGTTGGCATTTTAATTATGATGTGTCTTAGTTTTGGCCTCTTTGGGTTCATCTTGTTTGGGACTCTCTGCACTTCCTGGGCTTGTATATCTATTTCCTTCACCAGGTTAGGGAAGTTTTCTGTCATTATTTCTTCAAATAGGTTCTCAATTTATTGCTCTCTCTCTCTTCTCCTTCTGGTATACCTATGGTGCAAATGTTGGTATGCTTGATGTTGTCCCAGAGACCCCTTAAACTCTCCTCAGTTTTTTGGATTGTATTTTCTTTTTGCTGTTCTGATTGGGTGTTTTCTGCTACATTGTCTTCCAAATAGCTGGTTCAGTCCTCTGCTTCATCTAATCTACTGTTGAATCCCTGTAATGTATTCTTCATTTCTGTTATTGTATTCCTTATTTCTGACTGGTTCTTTTTCATGTTTTCTATCTCCATTTTTATGTTTCCTATCTATTTTTTTGAAGTTCTCCCTGAGATCACTGACCATCCTTATAACCAGTGTTTGGAACTCTGCATCTGGTAGATTGCTTGTCTCCATTTTGTTTAGTTCTTTTTCTGGAGCTTTGTTCTGTTCTTTTATTTGGGACATGTTTCTTTGTCTCCCATTTTGGCTGCCTCTTTGTGTTTGTTTCTATGTATTAGGTAAAGCTGCTTGGTCTTTCATTCTTAGTAGAGTGGCCTTATATAGTAGGCGTGCTGTGGGGCTCAGTGGCAGTCTTCCTAGTTACTTGAGCCATGCACTCCAGGTGTGTCCTTGTATGGGTTGCATGTGCCCACCTCTTGGGGTTGAACCTTGGTTGATATTTGCATATCAGTGGGAGGGACTGACCCTCAGGCTCATTGATGTGTGGACTGACCATGACTACAGTGGAAGAGTTGTGGTGCAGAGGCTGACCCTACAGAGCAGGCTCTGCCTCAGCAGGGCTCTGGTGCCTTCCCATTCCTCCCTTGGATGTGTCAGTTTTGGAGGTGGCTGGGTGATGCTCCAACTCATTTCGAAGCTGGCCACTGCAGGTGCCAGCCCCATGACCACTTTGGAGGGGATCTGCTGCCACTCAAGTTCAGCTGTAGCCTGTGCCTCACCCGGGGCCACCTGACAGGAGCCACAAAGAAATCCACAGATGGCTGCCAGCTGTGCTGTACTTGGAAGTGCCTCAAGAGACCAAGCTGTGAGCCAATGCTGACTGCCACTAGTACCAGGCTTAGGGCTGTTCAGCCAGAGGTACAGGACACGCTCAAGCCAGATGCCGCTTGTCTAGGTTCTGCAGACCTTTGAGAGACCCTAGGAAAGTCTGCAGCATGAGCTAAGACAGGTGGTTTGTATGAAATAGCCACTGGAAGTGGCTTGGGTGTGCCGGAAAGTTGGGTGGGGCAGGGTCTCGAATCACCAGGGTGTGGTGAATGAACAGTGTTAGCCAGCTTGATGGAGACTCAGATATGGTGCCACTTGCTTCTGCACGCAGGGAAGCGGGGAGGGTTCAAAAAAGAAACAATGGCCTCAACCAGTCCCTCCGTCCAGGAGAAAGCTGTCCCTCCAGCCCTCATCCCAAGCCAGAAAACTCAGTTCCCCAACATGTGTCCCTGCTGTCTTTCCAGCTTCTGCTCCAGTGCTGGAGCTCAGAGCCAGTGAGTCTTTCAGTGTGTAAGTCTGTGCATGATCCTTTTAAGAGGAGTGGCTGGGACTCCAGTCACCCTCTGTCTCACTCAGTCACAATCTCTGCTGGTTTTCACAACCAGAAATTATGGGGACTTCTCTCCCCAGCGCTGGAACCCTGGGCTGGGGTGGGGCTGGGACCTCTCACTCCTCTGGGGTGGGGGTAGGGGAGGAACCCCCACAGCTGAGATATCTTTCCCAATTTTTAATGGTCACACACAGTTGTGGGATAAGCCTGTTCTGTATCCCTGCCCCTCCTACCAGGTGGCTTCTTCTGTAAGTCCTTAGTTGTAGGGCTTTGGTTCAGCAAGATTTTAGGTGATTCTCAATTAATGGTTGTTTTGTAGTTTAGTTGTAATTTTGATATGGTCATGAGAGAAGGTAAGCACTGCATTTACCTACTGTGCCATCTTGAGCAGAAGCTCTATACCAGGGGTCGGCAAACTTTTGAGATGGAAGAGCCAATCCTGTCCCTCGAAGTTTTGTGAGACCTATAAAATAAATGAAATCACCATTATGTGAATAATATCCTTTAAAATTTTTAAAAATTAAACTATGATAGTTTTATTTTCATTTTCAATGTTACTTCAGAGCCACATGTACATACCCAAAGAGCTGCATGTGGCTTGCGAGCTGCAGTTTGCCAATCCCTGCTCTAGACAAAGGCTTTCAATCATCCATTTAAAATATATTCAAAAAAATAAAAGAAACGTTTTCTAAAAAACTAAATGAAAGAGAACAATATCTGACTAAATAGATAAAATTAATAAAAATATAGTCATTATTTGAAAAAGAAAGAACCAAACAGAAATTCTGGTGTTGAAAAGTGTACTAACCAAAATGAAAAATTCCTTAAAAGGGCTCATCAACAGATTTGAGCAGACAAAAAAAAAGAAACAATGAATTTGAAGGCAGGTCAACTGAAATTATCCAGTCTGAGGAACAAGAAAAAAGAATGAGAAAAAATGAACAGAGCTTCAGGGACCTGTGATATGCCATCAAGTGTACCACAGAAGGACAGTAGAGGAGAGAAAGGTACAGAAAGAATTTTTTTTTATATAAGTTATACCCTCTTTTTTTTTTAAGATTTTTATTGGGGAATTGGGGGATGGGAACAGCGCTGGGGTATTTAGGGAAGGGGAACAGACAAGTTGCTGTCCTTTTTGTTCTTCAGTCTAGTTGTGGAGGATGTTGCTTCACTGGCCCAAGTTGGCACCATCATTGCG